ATTCCGAAACCGAAATCGTAACAATTGTGTTAAGAATAAAGAAGCACATCCATCCAGTCAATACAGGCAATGCTATAGTGTGAAAAATACGCTTGCTGGACCGCTTAAAGACATAACCAAGAGAATTTATTGTGAAAATTAAACCCTATAAACTTGGGTCCACCGTAAAATCCTAACGCCACAACTAATTTTATGTGAATTTATGTGAGTTCCAGTTTTAAATTAAGAAAATAAGTGTTTCTCTTTGCTGGCAAGTTGAAATAAAGCTTTGTTTTCAAAGTAGTTTTGGGCAAATGTTAATAAATAATGGTTTTTACAAAGAATCACAACCCTACTCCCAAACCGCCCACACTATTTCGAAGTTTTGTTCTTTTTTTTGGTTTTAATTTTAACTTTACTTCAACTTCAATGAAAAACGTCCACGACAAAACTTCATAAATAAATAAGCTTAAAGTCTACTGAATGGAACGAAGGAAGTGGTAGTAGTGACGTAAACACCAGAATGAAATACAAACCAAAAACCGGAGCAAAAAAAGACCAAAAAGGAGTTATATTTACACTACTATCCCTTGCGGCTGTATAAGAAACCCAAATGAGTTTTTAAATAATTGAATAAATTCTCAAATTATGACCAACTTCATGAAATATTGAAGCTGAAAGGAAAAGAAGAACTGAAAGTTAAGAAAAATTTTTCTTTCTGCCATCAAAAAAAAAAAAAAAAAAAAAAAAAAAACCGAAAAAAATTCACCGCAAATCTGGTAAATTAAAATGTTAAATTGTTTTATTATGAATGACAGCTGAAGATTTTTCATTTTTCTTTACCTGAATCAGCTGTTTTATTGCCTGCATTTTCTCTTTAAAGAGAATCTTTGGCTTTCTGCCTCAAAAATTTGTATGTTGTTCATGTTATTTTTTTCCACTTCTTTTGCTTCTCACATTAAAGCATGCAAAACATTAAGACACGTGGATAGCAGCATGTTACGATTTTCACGTAACATACATAATGTGGAGAGTACGGTCGTAAACGTGGAGGAAGGAAAAGTCAAAGTCCCTTTTTACCATAAATGGGGTAGTTTTTTTTTTTCGTATTTTCTTACTCTCCTACAATAATGCAAACACACACATACATACACACGCTCACGTTAGCATTCGCAATCACAACCCGCATACTTACCACAGAAATGGAAAACACAAAGCATGAGCTAAAATTGTGCGTTTGTGGGTGAGTGTGTGTGCAGATTTTGTTGTTTAATTTTTGCCATATTTGAGCAGAAACCCCTTTCATTCTTAATGGATATTGCATTACTTTATTTTACCATTTCATACGTATAACGAAATAAATATGAAAATATTGTGTAGTAAAACACAGATGTGCCCTGCTTAATGTAGGTTATGGATTTCACGGCGAAATTCTGTATCCCCATGCAAGGTAGAATGTAACATAGACATTTGCTTGTACAGGTATTAGTATTACTTTCATTAAAACTAAAATCGAGCTTACTTTCAGTAAATGTCTGAAAATATTTTGAATTCCGGGATTCTGATATCAGTTTAATATTCTAAATATACTTAACAGTTTGCGTCCACAACATTCTATTTGGTTTCTATATGATTTAAAAGAAATAGTTTTTCGTGGTCTTCGGATAATATGTGAAGGGTGTAATGGGCCATAAATTTCGTGTAAAAATAACAATATTTCCATTCAACCACGAATATTTTTAATGCCAAAGGTCACTTTCGGCGAATTTACAGAAAAAATGCTGGTTACATTTGTTTTTGAAGACGAGTATGGCCACAGTCTTAGATATAGGAAAATGAGCATTTTTTATACCCTCCACCATACAATTGTGGGTATATTAAATTTGTCATTCCGTTTGCACCACATCGAAATATTCGTCGGAGACCCCAAAAAGTATATATAAAAGTATGAAATTATAAGCTCATTTAGCGATGTCTATCTGTCTGTCTGTTGAAATCACGATTTAATCTAGATCTTCGAAATTTGACACAAAGGTTTATACTGGGTTGCCCATATTCGGCGGACCCATCTGGCAACGCCATAACTTTTGTCATAGATGTCACATCGCTTAATGACATACCGCGTTTGACGCGTCAGTCCAAGCAGATTTTTACCATGAACCAATACACGCCACGCGAGCGCTCTGAAATAGTTGAAATTTACATTCAACAGAAGAAGTCAATTTTGAAAACTCAAAGTGCTTTTAAAAAATGTGAGAAGTGCGCCTTCTAAGAACACCATTAAGCGTTTATACGAAAAATTTTCGACTGGTAAGGCTCTTTCTAATCCGAAGAGGCCCCAAGAACATCCCAAAAACGCCTTTCTCAGCAATTGGGCATGGCTCGGTCCACTTTACAACGGATTATTCGCATTGATTTGCATTTGTTCCCGTACAAAATTCAATTGACGCAAAAAATGTTGCCTGCGGACAAGCCTCGTCGATTGGAATGGGCCCAAAGGTCCGCCGAATATGGGCAACCCTGTATTATATGTATGTTGATTGGTATTGAAAATGGTTTATATATATATATATATATATATATATATATATATATATATATATATATATATATATATATATATATATATATATATATACACGTGTAGCTATTGCCCCCATATGACGCTACCACAATCTCCAAATTAGCTGAATCTTTACATTTGGGTAGGTCTATTCTTCTATTCTTTCCCTGCAAACAATATTCGCTCCTGGTCCATGAATTGGTATAGCCCCTATATAACTATAACTCCTGATTTTCTGCCACAATTTCCAACAAAAATCAACTGAAACTTAACATTTGTGTAGGTCTGTTTTCTGCATATTCGATATTCGTATTTTATGTGCCAACCTTGCTTTCCAAAATACTCCAGACACAATAGTCCAACGGATTGGTATCCGTGAGATTTTGGTGGCCATTGTGCGCTGGAAACGAAGCGAGGAATCTCATTTTGTAACCATTCTTGTGTGGCGCATGCTGAGTGCGATGATGCTGAGTCCCGTTGGAATGTCCAAGGTCAGCGGCCAAAATGTTTGCGTGCCCAAGGCTTTAATACACCCTCCAGAATATTTTTGCGATAATATTCCGTATTTATTCTGATGTCACGGTCGATTAATACGAGCGGAGAGCGACCATCGACTGTTATGGCGGCCCACACCATCACCATGGCCGGCGCTTGAGTTCTGGTGGCCATCGCAGGTGCAAATTTTCAGCTGACCTCTGTGGCAACTAAACACGATCATTTTTTTTTTTTTTTTTTTTTTGTTTACAAACTGCTGGACAACGAATATTTTCTCATTGGAGAAAACCAAATTCGGCAGTTCACCACTTTCGGCCAAGCGATGGAACTCTTTAGTTGTTTTGAGTCTATTTTCTTTCTGTTGCGGTGTAAGCTCTTGCACTTTTTGGAATTTCAATGGCTTTACCTCGAGCTTACTTGTCAATATTTGCCGAATGGAGTATTGCGATATGTTCAGCTCACGAGTCATTTTTGGAATTTCAATGGCTTTACTCCGATCTCATTTTTCAATATTTGCCGAATGGAATATTGCGATATGTTCAGCTCACGAGCCATTTTTCGGACACTGCGACGCGGCTTTCGATCAAGTCGTCCCTTTTCCTTTCGAACCATTTCTGCTGATGTTGCTGTTTTCTTCCGTCCACTTCCTTGACGTCGGGCTACGCTACCAGTATCACCGTAACGAGCGATGGTACGAGACACAAAAGATCTATTCACATTTAAATGCTGGAGTGCTCTAACGATAGCCACTTGTGGTTTTCCAGCCAAATATGAAGAAATCACATTATCACGCTTGAATTCTATTACTAATAACTTTTTTTCTGGAAAATTCTCACCAAAATGCTTATGTGCGCTTCTAAACAAAATAATGAGCTGACACAGGAATAATTGTAACAGCTGCCGGACGAGAGGCTTAGAAATGACAACAGTCTTAAGTTGGTTGCAGTTTTTTCATCTCACCCTGTGGGTCCAAATTTTTGGTATAGTACCCATATAACTGAGCTTCCAGATATTCGGTATTTTGATAATTTTTGTTCGATGATTAGCACTTTTAATAAGAATTATTTCAAGTTCTTATTCGTAATGGGTACTATCTCCTATGACAGAAAATTTTCTGTAAAGATCCACGCCTTCGTATAGCCTTTATATAACAGTGCCTTCTAATAGTCGGTATTATTTTAGCTACACTTTTCAAAATTGGTATTTTAAGTTCATAATAGGCGCCGCTTTTTTAGCAGATAGTTTGCTAAATGTGTCCACGTTTTCGTGTAGCCCCCATGAATACAACGGTTCTTTCCTACATTCGAAATTCTTAATATTGCAGCATCATTTTTTAACGGTTTTTACATTTTGCAAGTTCATTTCCAATTGAGGGGGTGTAAAAGTTCGGCTCGTAAACTCATAAAAATACCTTCCCTCTCTATGATTTTTTAAATTAAAGTAAGCTTTGACATTATGAGTTAAAAAATAAATTTTCAAAATAAAATTATTGTGTAAAATCATTCTGATATTTGCCTTCGATTCTTTCACAAGTTAAAATTTATAAGTTTTATAATGTTTTTGAAGAGAATATCTGTTATTAAAGACATCGGTATAAAACCGAGATTTTCCGAGATAAATCGGAGGAAAAGTGAATTTCAACACATATTCACAATATTTGGGAGAAAAATACCAATGATAATCCAAAATTGTTATAATTTCCGGATATGGTCGTCGACGTTATTCCATTGGATTAGATGTCGAGAAAACTGAAAATATTGCGCCTTATTTTATCCTAATGTTATAAGAGGCTATGAAAATCGCATGAACCCGAATTGGAAATCGAAAAAGATCAGGACAAATCGAGAAACTCTGAGAAAGAAGATCGCATTGGAAGTTAGACAATGTTAAAATATATAAAACATAATTAATCAATTGTTGAATCGCGTATACAATATTTAACATTTTCTCTTCTTTCTTGCAGATTTTTAAAGTGAATAGTCGTAGAACAAATAACCAACGAAAAAATCTACACCTAGTGTCCAACTTGTTACCAAATCGCAATTGAAATAATCATCCAAATCATCAACTGAAACCTTTAGTCAGAAGAGGACAGGAAGAAAACAAAAACCACTTGAAAAATGGCGGCATTTATAGCGAAACAAATGGTTGGCAACCAATTAAGCGCCGTTAAAGGTAAGTCAGCAATTGTTTCTATTTGCGAATAAACCTCAAACTGCCAACAATCACACAAATGGTAATTAGTAGAGTGTCAAAGGTCAAGTGGGAATGTTGTAACCGATAATTAAAAATAGTAAACCTATAATTGATTAGAGCAACGAAAAATATGAGAAGGGAAGATGGATTGAGTTATTGTCAATTGTCCTAGGGGGAAATTTGTTTGTTATTGATGAATCTTTAATGACGTTGAGAAAATGCTGTGATTGATTTGAAGCTATATATAGATTTATTTTTATGATTAATAGTAATGGAAACTAATTTTATTTTTGGTTAATTTATACATGGTAAAAACAATTTTATGAATTTCTTTGCAAAAATATTTATTGGCTTTACTCGCAAACAAAGTAGATCATTTTCTGGACATCGAATTCTAGTACAATAAGTTATGTTCATACACCAGAATTCATCTGGTGTATGATAAAATTAGTATTTAGAATATGTCAGAAGATCTGCTATATAGAATGTAGAATGAAGGGTATATTAATTTTGTCATTCCGTTTGTAACTTCTCGAAATACTCATGTCAGACCCAAAAAAGTATATATATTCTTGATCAGCGTAAAATTCTAAGACGATTTAGCAATGTATGTCCGTCTGCCTGTGTGTCTGTCTGTCCGCCTGTCTGTTGTAATCACGATATCTTTCGAACAAATTGAGATAGAAGGTTAAAATTTTGCACAAATGTATATTTTGACAGTAGGCAGTTTAAGTTCGTAAATGGGCCATGTAGGTCCAAGTTATCATATAGCCCCCATATAACGGTACATCCCGATATTCGGTATTTTGATGATTTTAGCGACATTATTCGCCGGAATTGTTTCAAATCTGGCATTTGTAGTTCGAAATGGATACTTCAGCCCATGCCAGAAAATTATCTGTGCAGGTCCACGTCTTCGTATAGCCCCCATATAACGGTACCCCCCCCATATTCGCTATTTTGATGATTTTAGCTACATTATGAACAGATTTTTCTTCAAGTTTCGCATTTTAATAACTTATTACAAAAGTTGCCTATGCAGGTCCACGTTGTCGTATAAGCATTCGGCATTTTTAAGATTTTAACAGAATTTTTAACGGATTTTATTTTTTGGAAATTGCCAAATTTGTAAAAAATGGTGGAGGGTATTAAAAGTTCGGCCCGGCCGAACTTACAGCTTTTTTACTTGTTTAAATTCTAATCTCCTAAAATGTCACGAGCAACATTTTTAATTTTTTATGCCAAAGAACCTCATTTTCGATACTTATCATACAGACTAGAACCGACAAAAATGACGAGAAGAACGATACATTTGCAAAAACTCCTAATTTGGTTTGACTGAAGTCGTGTCCTTAGAATCCATTAAATCCATTGGATGGATTTTTATTTTTATTTCCTCATCAGAATAAAAACTTCTTTAGTGTTCGTGAAATATTTCAAATAAGAATATTCAAATTAAAAAAAAACACCGTTCTCAATGCTTAGATTTAGTACTGAAATTTTGCGCAAACACAGTTTTTTTGTTTCTTGCATAAATGGTATCGAGGAAAAGTGTATAAGAATATTCGTTGTATTGGTATTGTCTCCCACATATCGACGTTCAACAATTTTGGGTACTTTTATATGAAAGCTATACTAAGTGTGTACAAATTTAATATGAACATTTTTCTAACAAAAAACTTTAATACCAAGTTATAGTTAATTTGATTGAAAAATAAAATTAACATTTATGTAGGTACCTTTATAAGGGTGCACACTAAACCTGGGGCCCGAGTTTCATTGTTTTCCACGACGCCTTTAAATTTAGATTTAAGTCACATAAGTTTTCTGTTGACTCACTAACATATCAGCACTTAGTTAATGTCATACACTTAGACGGACGGAAATCTGTAAAAAGTTTATTGACAAGAGCCATTCGTAGAAAAAAAGTAAATGAGCGATACGTGCTTGAGAACCGATCAATGGTAGATGTTTTCTTTACGGCTTTTAGCGGATATATATCGGAGCGCAATGCAAAATAATAAGTTCACACAATTTCGTTTACGAATGAGTATGTGGTACCCTCACTAAACTATTTTGAGAAAATATATAAAAAAACTTTAAATTGCTTTAAATCAAGGTTTATCTCAAATCATGGATCTATCCTGAAGATTGTTCTGACTACATGGTTTTTAGCCCAATAAACTTCTGTTCAAACCAGTAAAGAGATGTCAAAGGTCGGACTGGACGACTTTATTATACCCTACCCACTAGTATGCATATTTGATAAAGCTACTCGTAAAAAACACTAATAAGCTCTAGAGCAGTTATAATTTGAAAGCAGAGGTAACTAATATATGGGATTTCGAAAAAATCTATTTCCAAAAAATTTTACAAAGGCATTTGTACTTCTCGTAGCAAAAAACATTGCTATAGAGTGTACATTATGCACTTCGAGGAGGATAATATTAAAATATTATATATCGAACAAATGACATATTTGCTTCCAGGAAAAATTTGGACTGATCGGAAAAAATATATATGGTAGTTATATTCAAATTTGAACCGATCTCGATGAATTTTGGCAGAGTTATTTCTGGCGAATATTTGATATCTGGTTTAAAATATCATTGTTGTGGAGTGCATGTTACGAACATGAGGGACTTTAAACCCAAATTGGATAAAGCATTTGGGAGCTATATCAACACCGATTTTTACCAAATTTCGCCCGATTGTGCCGAAATTAATTCCATTTGGACGAATATTAAACATGTGGCGCACAGTAACATTGAAATCGGACGAAAATATATATGGAAAATTTATTTGATTCTGACTGATATTACTCATTTGATCAACAATATTTATGAAATCAGACAATGCTATATATGGGAGCTATATCCAAATCTAATTCGATTCGACCTTGGGCCAAACCACTGATTTGTGGAAAATTTCATAGCAATCAGACCATAAGTAAAACCTGTACTTTTTTTTATAAAAATACATGGACTGACGAAAGCACATGAATAAATCGACTCAGAATTTTCTATACATATCCTCAAAGAGAAGTATGGGTCATCTCTCATCTTTCTCTATGTTAAAAACAAATGCACATAGGCAACAATCGTAGCGGTATGTAAAAATATATTTCTCGCACCCTCCAATATAAGTTGAACAATAGTGCAACCGTTTCGTAATCAAGTTTTTGGCATGGGAGACTTCCTGGAGAAACAATCAATTGCAGTGCCATGTTCCAATACTACTAAGCAAACTACCGAGTGTGTTGAAGGAGCAACAAATCACTACTATTGTCTCCTCAGTAAAAGTAAGTTTTATTTTATATCTCAAATCTTGAAGAAAATATATATTTTCTGTTTACTAATTACACAAAAACTGTGTTTCATGTAAAATGTGCAAAGTAAAAAGTAACCACTTTGGATGAGCAGTGGACACAGGCTCCAACCTATCTAAATTCTGAAGATTCTTGTTTATCAACAACCAATATTGACACTTAATCTCTCATTATCAAAAAAATGCAAAGTTTTTACCATTAATTTTTTTTACGAAATAGACTTTTGTTTATCTTCTGCGCAGAACTTTAATTAACATTTATTATACAGGAGAGACGCAAGAGTATGAGATGCATTAGATTAGCAGGAATACCATCCTGGTGGGTATCCGCACAAAAGGCATTAACTATGGAAAGTTTTAATTATCCCATAATCTCATGTTAGTACACGTGTTGTTTGTTAGGAAGTAATAAAACATTTAACCAGTCATCAACACCTTCCCCCCACGCATCAGGCCGAGCCATAAGTATCTGCAATTTTGTGCAATTTGTAAATGTTTGGTGTGTACGTGTGCGTGCGCTTGTAATTCTCGGTTTCTGTGCGTTTGTTTTAGCTATCAGCCTTTAGTAGGGCTCTGGCGATGTTCTAAATCCAAACTATGTTTTTATAACTCATACATTTATTCATACATATCGTATCATATGTATGTACGTTCTAACATGTTAACAGACTCAAATATCTTTGACTTGCAGTTCCTGATAAAGATAACGCCATAACAAGAAAATGCACAGTATTTTTTTCCTCAGTCTTTTTGGATTACTTGTTTCAAGCAACAGCATATATCATAGGATTATGTAAATTTACGCAATTAAATTTAATTGCTCTCCAATTAATAATTGTGTACAGGTTTTGGTATGAATCTATTTCAAAAAGCAAATAATATTGTATGCAATTAAAAACTGACTTAGGCCAGTGTCCATGTCACTGTGTGCATTGGGCGATATGAAATTCAATTGCAAATGGATAAGTTTCGGCTCTTACATTAACAAAACTTTCTCTACTGGGCAAAATGCGTGATAATTGCAAGCGTTTTTCGTTTGTGAGACGATTCGTGGTTTAATTACATAATTAACTGAAGATACTTGATAGTGCATTAAAACACGAAGCGTGCATTAGCTGTGTCAGAAAGATAATAGCTAAAAAAGTATTTCTAAGCATCGGGAAGTTAATATAGGGTTTGAGGGTTATAATTCTCATCTTTATACTGGAGACATATTTTCAAATGATGCAACACTATGTTATACCTTTTTCTTAATTAAGAATTACAAACTTCTTTAGATTACCTATTAAGGGGAAAGTACGACAAAGATTGGGCCTAACCGAGAAGGCTGTGAAAATGAAATTGGATTTATTATTTTTTTAAAATGCTGACCAATAATTTGACATTTTATGAGAGTTATGATTATACAAAATACTACAATCATATAATATACCATTATATAAAGTATATAGCTTTAAATTATGGATGTACGAGAAGAAGCGGACCGATATGGCACAACGAAGCCAAAACAAAATACTTTCTGCCCTATGTTCGGTATTTTGATGATTTTAGCCCGTTTTTCGCAGATTTTTCTAAAAATTGGTATTTGTAGGTCAAAATGGTGTATGTATAGGTCCAAGTTATCGTATAACCTCCATATAACGGTACCTTCC